ATATATATATATATATATATATATATTTGGCGTAAACATATATTTTCATTAAAAAGTTAGTGAATTTGCATTTTCGCATTTATATCGCTCCTAGAATATTGAGGCAACAATTGCATCTGATGCTGAGAAGCGAGATACGAGAGAGAAGGAGAAAGAGAATTCGTGTATATTTGAAATTAAGAGATATAGATATCACTACAAGTGTCCAATTAACGTGGGCGATAATGTTAGCGCTCGTTCGCTTAGAGCTGTATCCGTATTATTCTACTTGAGTCGTAATAGCTACGTTTCCCGTTATAGCGATGCTTAGTATTCAGACCGTGTTTCAAACATTAGAAACGGGCGATACTTAAAGCAACGCAACGCAGAGTACACGAGGACATCTCATTTCGAAGGAGAATTAACAAAAAGAAGAAAAGAAAAATATTCATCGATTAATAATATCATGTATATAAAAGTGAATGTAAGATATACGCACCAATTTTCATGATCCAAAAATAACGAGAGACTTTGAGTTGCTTTTTGTCTACGATATGTTTCATCACAGTTACGTGCATAATACAAATAGTAGTAATAATAATAATGCAATAATAAGAGTATAAAACAATTATTTATGCTGCTTCAAACATTAGACATCTTTGCGACAGCGATAAACGCTGGACTAAATGAGGGATTTATGCGATAAATAAAAAGAAGCGCTATATCTTACTAAGAGTAGCTTAGCAAGGTATAAACATGTTTCGTGAAATTCTAAAACAAACGAGCCAGTTCGATCAAGACATTCTATAAAAGCTTACGTAAACCCGTCGAATGAACTCTTTCCTTAAATGACTACGCATTAAATTAAAGCTAATGTACACAATTCGTAATTGCCAATATTTAGCGCGAGTTTGTCGTGTCGACTATGCATGCGTGGCCCGCACTACGACACGTTACCAGTATCTTAACTTCTAATAAATTATTTACATCATTTGTATGTGTTAACGCATTCGGTAATATTGACTTTCAACAAGCAACAATGATTCCCTTGTCATATAAGTTGCACGGCAATAACAACACTCGCCGATTGCGTTACGAAGGCTCTGAACGAAAGTGTTACAGCATTACGTTTATTTAAAAAAAAAAACACGCTCGATTTCGGGATATCAATTTCTGTGAATAAATAAAGAGTATTATTGAAATACGCTGTCGAAGATATAAAATATAAATCGACGCGTTCAACGTTTTCGTCATACATATGTATCGCGTATATATCTTTATTATTGCGAATTTTTAGATTTATTACACAATCGAAGATGTGGCCTTCGATATTAGTGTCATCATCGGTATACTTTTATACTCTATAAGTTATAACAACTTTCATTAAAATGACGGACAATAACTATATTTAACACTTGCGTTCAGAATTATACATATGTACAAACTTTCTATTTTTTCTTCTAAGACACCGACTTATGCATCTCGAAACACTAGAATTTTCCAGTATTTCTCTATTAGAGCGAGCACTTTTTTTGTATGTGTATATCTCTCATCCGACGCTAAATCCTATTACTTGACGGATAACTGATATGGAATTAATTGACTGTGCATTATGTTACGGTATTTAAAGTGGAATTGAAAACTTCCAAACATAACTTGCATTGATATAGTGCGAACTGATTCCCCCCTCTCCCCATATCGTTAATTAGCTACATTTATAATTTCGAGATTCTTGACACACTTTAATGTTGTCAGTTTCATGTTTCGATAAAAATTCTGTACAAAGTTGTTGTTATAATAATAATCGTAAGCTTTGGAAGATTTCATCTTCCACAAATACTTGTGCATGTTGCATCTTATATCCTAGTTCGAATAATGACGTTAACTCTTTCATGAACTTAATGAAATTAGTGATTTTAATTGATGAAAACTTTGATGAATCTAAGAGTTAAACGTAAAAAAACAGATAAAATGATTAAAATATTTACCACGAAGGAATAATAATTTTCGCAATCTGAGACAATTGCCCGAGTAATATTTGAAAATCGATATGTACAGACGTATCGAGTTTTTTTAAATTTAAATTTTTTAAATTCTTACTCGAACTTATGTTTAAAAGAAAACTACTTGGTTTCAATACAATTTAGACATTTTTTTCTTGATAAAGTTTCTGATGCAACCAATGGTCCAATGAAAGAACTTGTTTTTTATCAATCCTTACTTTCATAAGTTATGTTTCCAACTTCATCGAGAAAAAAGAATTATCGAAAAAATTATTGAGACTAAGTGTACGCATTGTGTGATATGCAAGATATCGGTTTACGATCGCTAATCCATTATTGCGATCGCCAAGGCCATTTAGACGTTTGTACACGAGTCAGAATGATTTCCCTGATAGCTTACGTATTAACACTTTCTTTCTAACAGGACTATCTCGCAGGATCTCCTAAAACTTTTCCTTGGTGGTTTACGAGTATAAAGAATGAACAACTTTCTCTCTTATATTATTTAGCAACAGCAGATATCGTTAACCCCTTGCATTGACATTTAATTGACATTCACACGAGACATATGTCTATTTAAATCTACGCTCAGAGAGAACAAAAACATATATTACATTACGTGCCTGAGACGTACTGGACAATTTAGGCTCGTAAATAATAGAATGTCTGGGAGACGTAATTCCAATGCAAGCGATTAAATGTGATCGTAAAAATTCGGGTGTGCATATATATATATATATATATATATATATATATGTATATACATATACACGCACCCACACACACACACACACACCCACACCCACTAGCATACTGGAAACGATCATGCTGAAGCTGTGAGAACATACCATATTATTCAACTGCGAAGCCACAAGTTTCTTCAACCGCCTGCGTAAGCTTGTCAAGCATCTTTTGATAATTCGGATAATTTTGTGGTATGTCTATTCTATTGAAACAGGTATGTGCTTTTGGTAGATTTTCGCTTGGAGCATCAACGACGTGGATTGTGAAAAGTCGAGGACCTGCTGCTCCCGTTGATCCTACACAGACAGTAATGAAGTATATATATGAAACAGTGAATTTGAATGTGAATGCTAAGTTAATAAATTATTAAATATGCCTAATTCAATATAACATGCATAAATATTAAAATGAAGTCCTAAAAAATGTTTAAAATATTCAACATATATTTTATAGAACATATATTAATAGAATAAAACAGAATATTTTAAAATATTTATACTGTAAATAATATTAATAATATAAATACTAAATTAATAAATTATTAAATGCGCCACATACAAAGCAATGTGCGTAAATATTGATCTGAGAGAACCTCAGAAAATTTTTAAAAGTATTTAACATATTTTATAATGGAATAAAATAGAATATTTTAAGACGCATATATCAATGTAATTATTGGTATTTGTATATTGAATCGCTTGAAAATATACCTTGCAATGCTTTGAATCCTTGTAACGGGACTCTGGAACTGCCGGTAACGAACTGAAGTAATCTCGCCCTCATTTCTTCGCCATACGACTCTACTATCTGCCAAAACCATTGCACAACCGGTGTATCGGGTGTACAGTGCTTAAGTCGAGTATGCATCTTCCAATCGTTTATGTCGATAGTGCCGAGACCACCGATAACTAATTCCAATTCACGTTCGTCGAACGGTCTTAATAACAGTGGAGGAATTAGTTCGTGGAATCCTTTCTGCAACGCTAAGAACTGTTGCTCAATACCGCGCATAAATCGATAGTTGACGTATAAACGGACGTATTCTCGTTTGTTCTCCTCTGTTACCGGAATGTCTTTACCCCCCGGCTTCAATTCGTGATTCTTTAACACTCCAAAACTGCTGTGTTCTACAGAAAATGTTGCATCCAATACTCCATCTATGCTATTTTCTCTGATAACATAAGATACAATAAATTAAAAATTTCAGAAATTGTTCTCGAAGCAATACATACGAATTAATATGCAATATATCGATTAATTATGGAAGATATGTAATTGGATAGATGAAGACATGTCACTTACAGCATCCACGTAAGGCTTCTATGCAGTTCCGGATCGACACCCTCGATATCACTTAGTGTTATAGCTTTGTTAAGCAACATTTTATAGAACGGAGTTGTGAAACCACCATCAATATGATGGCCATGAAAAACAGCAATGCCTATAATCCTCCCGGCGAAGTGGAAGTACGACAAGTGTTCGGGATTTATGCCCGAGTCCGGGTTAATTTGAAGTGTGTAATTGTCGTCTCTCGAATATTGAAAGAGTCCGTATTGCGGATTTAGCATCTCATGTGATAACAGATACAACCATTCACGCGCCACGCCGCCGTAATCGAGGCCTTCTTCACCGCGAAACTTCACCATAAGTCTTTTTCGCATATCTTTCGGACGCATCTTCATTATCAGTCTGTATGATTCCTGTAAGAACGAGATGTTGTTTGTGAGTGTGATGCGCACGTTGAACTCGGGATAGCGTTCACGATTCTACGCATTTAGCACGAGATCTTTCAGAACAAACAGGGAATGCGTTACATATAACACGTTATACATTAAAATAATTCTCACTTCGAATATTTCGTTTCTCGACACTTCCAGCCGGCAGTGACCACTTTGAGGTTGAAGGGCATTTAATTCCGCCCGAAGACACTTCAATTTCGCTACTAGATCACGTTTATATTTTGGCAGTAGCTCGTTATCCATAAGTTCTTTAGGCAATTCCGACACTGTTTGAGCGTTTTGCGGTCGCACATTTTCCACTGAAAGAAAGAGAAAGAACAAGGAATTTATCACACACGAACGTTTAGATATTTCGCACAATTCACACATGTACGAAATTGAGGTCTCCGATTTTACCGTTCCTGAGAAGCATAAGTCTTCCGAAGTGAAACGGCATTTTTGTCAAACAGAAGACAACCTAACAGCTCGACGTTACAACTGAGACTGAAAGTCTCGTGTGTTCTTTCTACTTAAGTTGTCTTCTCATTACTTAAAACGAAGCAGGAACTTTCGAAAGAAGGATATGTATGTGGACGAAAGACGGAGGAAGGAAAGCTGGAAGAAATGTGAAGGATAATTTGCAAAATAAAATAGAGTACAAAGAGCAGATTTTGACAATGAGACTTAATCGTTCAGGTAGACGTACTCGCAGATAAGATAAAATTGTGACACGCACACAGACACAACCTTTTGTTTTGTTTTTGTAGAAGCAAGCTGATTATGTGATTCATATATTTCTTTATCAAATATGTAAGATGCATATAGACTAGAGATAAGACTTTACATAAGATTTCATACTTGGCATCATCAATGCTCTTTAGCTTTGATTCGAATATTTCTGAATCAAACGTCGTTTTCAAGTATTCGCGTAACAACGAAAAGCATATCAAATTTTCACGCGCATATAACACGTGTGCGTGAAATAATATATTTCTTCTCTCCTGCTTTATAAAAGAGCATGCTTTTAAGAAATTTGGCGATAACTCACTTGTCGGGGAATTGTTGTTACTTCCGTTTTCATTTCTCGTTGGCTGCTGCGGAGTGTTAGGCTGAACTATTGGTGAACTCGTGGTATCCGCCTCGGCAGTTTCGTTCGTCGTAGAATTGCTTGCGTTATTAGTCGTTTGATTATTTACGTTATTATTTTGCCTCCTACTATCGGCAGAACAATATCGTTATATCTTCATAGTAACAGTTATCTCTAATAACAATTATGTTTGTCTGTGACAATTACATTTCTTATCTATTCTATGTACTTACTTCAAAAGATTGCTTATTATTTGACTGGACAATCTAGGATCAGTAAATTGCGTCGTCCGGTTATTGTGATCCACAAAATACACCCGTCCACTTTGGGTCTGCCTCATTTCCCATCCACTAGGAAGAGGACCAAGTTCACTCGTCAGTTCATTAGCTTGTAAATCACGTGGTATCCTTGGGTCATGCCAAGTAGAAGATCCAGTAGGTACATGATAGAAGTATACTTGACCTTGCTGGGTCTTTCTCATCTCTATTTGCACAAATAATAATTTTGTAATAATAGAAAGCATAGAAGATTGTACTTTTTCATGCTTTTAATATTTAAGTCTCAACAAAGGTTTCAGTTTAAAAAAAAACAAAGAGAGTAAAAATATAAACAGCGAAATTAGAGAGAAGACAATACGTCACGAAGGTCGACGAGAAAAGATATCGAATACTGTCATTGAATTCGTACCGTAGCCACGAGGTAAATCCGGCGGCTGCGGGGGGTCAGTTCGTCTGTCGCTACTTGGCATAACATTATTTCTATTTCTGTTGGTGCGATTAGGCCTTCGCGGTTGGCCGCTATTAAGGCCGCGTTCTAGTCTTCCGTTGACATTTTGATTGCCGTTCTGTTCATCGGTTCCTCTGACCACGCGTCGTTCTCTCACAGACGACGCTGGCGGTACATTTCTTATGTTCTGCTGATTTTGTTGTTGCGTCGGTGTGTTCCTCGGTGTATTCTGCGCCGAGCTGTCCCTGCTGGGAGTTTGACTCGGTGTCCCGTCGCCGTTCCATTCGGGCGAAGTATGTCGCGCAGGGCTCTCGTTTCTCACGTTCGGGGAGCTCGCGCTACTGCTAGGAGACGTCGGTTCCGACGACGGAGGCGGTTCGGGTGTTGTCGGTATAATAGCATTAGGTCTGTCGATTATCAATATCATCCATATAAATCTCATGTTGCACGCGCCAGTGTTTCGATCGATATCGCATAAAATATAATTACCTCATAATAAAGAACAATTTTGAATAATAATTGTAAATACAGGATGCCTGAAAATTAATGATATGCTCATTGTATGCAGGCAAAACTTGTCAAACTGAATAAAAAAAGTCCTCTATCATTTTGCAAATGGCCATGTAGATTTTTAATTATTAATTAAAGAAGATTGATACGTTTTATCGCACACAATTACATACCAGTCTTCTTTAACTGATAACTAAAAATCTACGTAGTTATTTGTAAAATGATAGAGGATTTTCTCGTTCAGTTTGACTCAATGTACAAGCACACGACGGCAGACGTTACCATCACAGTTCATCTACCGTATCGCGTGTGATCATTCATCAAAGTTCTCTAATTAATATTTTCAATTTTTACGTGTTCGTTTGAGAAATAATAAAGGAATTTTATGTTCAGTTTGATGAATTCTACCTGCACACAACGGGTGTGCCACGAATTGTCTGACACCCTGTATATTTATAGCGTATAATTATACAGATATTTTTATTGGAAATTCATTCGTATATATATCATATACACTAATAATTATAATATGCGCTTATAATTATAATTATACGTATATAATTATACTTATAATATGCGCTTATAAATGCATATCTAAAATCGTTATTCGTGCATATATATTCGCCATTATCGGAACTTCAAACACACAATTAATACAGTACAATTGATACTCATAGATGTGAAATATTACCGAGCATTTGGACGGATCCATTGCGTGCTTTTCGTATGGTGATTTACATAGTAAAGCCGGCCACTTTGCGTTCTCCTCTCTTCCCACCCGTCTGGTAAGTCATTCGGACAACTTAAATCTCCGAGTACATCCACCACTGCATTATGACAGACTGTATTGCTCACTGCACCATTGTGACCATCTCGTGATAACAAGGACACTACAATTTGCCCCTTTACGACGTCTGTGTCGTCGGAATGAGCCTTGCATAAGTCCAATCGTTGATCTAAAAGTATACACATGTCGTAAAAAATAACTCTAGAAGAAAAAGGAGAAAGGAAAGCATACATAATTACAACGTACACAAGATGTCCCATTCTCCTAAATCGACAGATATAAAGATATTCAATATTGATTTCGAAAGTCTGAGGAAATATTGACACGAAATAATGCATTGTTTGATCAACTGTTGCAAAAATCTTAAATTAATTTGGATTCACAAAAAACGAGGTACATGCAACATAATATTCGGGCTTAATTTGGACTTAATTCTTTTGAGTATGAATGTGTATACTTTGCATATTTGTGTTTACATTACTTGGCATTTGTGTATACATTGCTTTAGCTTGAATACATCTTGCTTGAAAATCTATTTTCACACAAACACCATGTATTATAAATCTTGATATATACATATGTACATGGACAACACACTTATAATAGGATTAAATATAATGATATAAAATAAACACATACATCCAGTATCCTTAAGTCTTTGAATGGTATTCGATAATATGCGTACACATCCCAGAAACCCTCCACCCTGCTTTTTATGAATCTTCCTATAATTCCACACAGATATAGTGATCCCATCGTTTTTCCCAATATATCTGTACGAACAAGTAACAGTGAATTATTTTCTTGATAATATGCTAATATATAATAATATAATAATATGATAATAAATAAATTGTATATGTATTTTGGTTGGATTAAAATATAGCTACTCACAAGTCATAATGCTGATTCCATTTAGGATCAAGGGTGGCTTTACAGGTGTCTGTACTGTGACACTGGCCAGAACCATCAACAGTAATCTTAGCAAAAGGATCAGGCAAGCCTAAAAATTATTATTTGCTTCATTATTTATTTATATCCTTATATGTGTGCACCTTGAATTTCTGACAAAATATAGTACTCACGAAATAAATCTTTTCTAGCAAGATTACGGGCGCATAAAACTGTAACATATAAAAGCATTGTGATTGAATTTATTCCAATAATACGTGAACATCATATTGAATTATTTCAGTTCTCATATTTTACACTTTTTGATTGCCAATATACAATTTATTTTCCACAAATTACTACATTAGCACATCCTCACAAATTAATTGTACTTTTTCCAGATTTTGCATTTGCATTTGAAACATACTTCTGCATTAGCATTTGAAACGGAATTCATTAATAATACACAAAAGAAAATTAAGGGCACATGAAAGTATCAGAGATGCATGCAGCTTGGAATGTGCTGTGTATTCTTTCTGTAGTATCCCCGCTAGAGAATCCGATTTAGCGGTCTTTATTGTAGTCGGTGGTTAACTGCGTTAAATACAATAGTACGGAGAACACAATGCCCCAGAAAATTCCTCGTGCGGGCCCTGCCAAGGCCACTTAGGCAGGCCAGCTAAAATGACACATCAGACTTAATGACTATTCGGAATTAGCGTTTTCAGCGGCCTCCCGGGGAGTGTTCGCGCAGTGGGGCCACGGGAGCGAGCATCCGTCGAGGGAGTTACTATAACCAAGGGACTAGGGAGCCACGGCTCGCGTCCTTTGCCCAGGGCACGCGATATCATTTTATCTTGGAGCCTACGACTTCCCGTTTGACGTTTCGTCGGCGCAGTGACCCCCCGCGAACGGTGGTCACGGCGCGGGGCCATATTGAATAATGCACAATAAAAACAGGCCGAACGCGAGAGGATTTCTCGTCGGCGCCTCCGTCGTGGCTCCGTCGTGCCGCGACTTTCACGCTCGACGAGACGGGACGGAGGCACGGTGTACACGGCACTTACTCGTCAGACGAATCTTCGTGGCGCCGTTCCTCCTGCTACCGCCCGGATTCGACATTCTGCACGCACATTTAACGCTTCGCACCGCGCAACGGCGCTGTAATTGGTAAATAAAAGTCACTCGCGCGACTATGCGAACTTGCGAACGCGCGACGGCGACGCACTCGCCCGCTTCGCACCCACACCAACGTACACTAGCTGACGCTCGTCGCGCTACATACACAGCACTCTCGAGCCACCCGCTATCGACTGCGAGCGCTCGCTCGAACGCTCGCCAGCAGCTCGCGCGAATCGATCTGCGAGATCTCGAATCGAATTGCGAGCGGGGGCGCTGCGAACGGAGACGATGCGCGCGTGACCGTTACGTTTCTCTCTCTTTTCGGCGACGGCTTTCCGACGATTACGCGGGATTTGCGGTTCTCTGAGGTATTATTTGCAATTAAACCTATTTATTGGGAATTGAGGGTGAAACGATGATATCCACGTCGTCCTCGATGTATTCCGCGTTTCGCTCTCGCTATTGGAACATCTCCGTGCGCGTTTAATCAGTCTTTTTGTCCATTATTCGAACGTTTAACCAAAAAAGCGACGATACGTGTATGTGCATAATTAAGGTAATCAGTGATGCAATTCTGTAACTAGTTATTGCAGTTAACGATAGTTTCATTATTGTTGCGCAGTTTTTTCGTATCGTAAAAAACTACGTAACGATAACGAGACCATCGTTAATTGCAATAACGAGTTACAGAATCACACGTTCATTTTTTTCCGAGAATTCCCTTACCTTCAATTCCTTCATCTCGCGAATTTCCCAAATGTTCTTCGAAACATTGATTTGTTCCGATCTAAATTGGCCCGGTTTATTCCCGTTTAGAGAATTTTTCAAATGTTTCTGACAAAGAGAGACTTTCTCAAAAAAATTCATAATTCTAACAAATACAACAGCTTTGTTTCTTTATATTAAATAAGAATAATACAAGAATAATATAACAATTTTATCTTAATAGAATTCTTATTTTTACTGTGTGTAGCAGGCTCTCATTGTTAAATAATTTTTCATGTGTCTTTATAATAAAATATATTATTTCATGTACATACATATTCGTGCCGGTCAAAAGTATGAGATCATACACACAGATTAAAATGTTTATTAAAAATTATTATCTGGGAATGATTATATTCGATATTGTATATATAATTTTTAGTGCCCTCCCCTCTCCCCTTCGGAAACCTAGTCACCTTAATGGGTTGCAAAACGGTTTAGACACAATGAGCTTTTATCAAATTTTCAAAATTGAGAATCATTACTGACGAACTTGCTCTGTAATTATATTATTATCGTGTTTTCTGTATTATTATTAGTATGCTCTGTATTATTATTAGTATCGTGTTTTTAGTGGCATTGTTAATTATATTTTTATTGCATAATTCTATCGGTAATGATTATCAATTTTGATAACTTTAATGCGTCCCAACTTCATTGTGTCTAAACCGTTTTACAATCCACTTTCGACATAGTTCTGTCCCCGAAATGGCCAAATGCAACGCGTAGTTTCGAGTTCAAATTACATCATGTGAAACTTCCAGCACTTTGTTGTATAACGAGCGTGTCTGGTTTGTATAACGCGATAACGAGTGCGTGCATGCGTGCGAGACGCGTCCAAATATTTTCGCGTTTTGCAACAAACGCGCCGGAGTGGGAGGAGGAAGTGTCGCCGGTGTAGGCGAGTCAAGGTGTGAAAACATTCTCCCACACATCGTCTCATTATTTCCTTTTTATTGTTGAAGTCTTAGCGTAGAAACGTACAAATCAAAGATAAATACACACGCGAATAGTGAAAGGACAGCGAACGATACGGCCGTCGCGACGAATGTTTCAAGCGTCGGAATACGCGCAAACAAACGGCACGTCGCAATAAGAATGTGTCATGATACTGTCGTATTCTGCTGCTTGTCGTACTTAACACGATAACATGATTTAAGCTTACGAAAGTGCGATATGAGCACGTTAATAACCTTTATAATATCAACTGGCCTATTTCTACGAAGGGACTGCCGCTACTTCTTATTAGTATTAGCATTTATTAACATACAATATGCATGTTCTTAACTTCGTCGTTTTTATATACACTGAGAGAAAAAGTATTTACGAGATGAAAAATATTTATTCAGTGGGCACCAATGGCACATTTACTTATGCACCAAAATATAATTAATACCAACTAATACCAAATAATTTTACAGAGAGGAAAAATATTTCTCAAGTGAGCAGATATTCTTTTAAATTTTTTTTTTCTTAAAACTTTGGCTTTTCATTAAAACAATTATTTTTAAATTAAATAAAAGTATTTAAATTTAAGTAAATATGTTATTATAGATTCAATAAATAAATATTTTGTATGTTTTAGATTTTTTTTTTCTCTCAATATATAACACACGTTACATTTTGTACTATTATCGGTAAGGCACATTTGCGTTGTACTTAAAATACATAACGTGATTGATTCGAAAGTATCTGTTTATTGACAGAAGAAATGGATATGTAATGAATAATTTACTCCGAGTATTTTCAATATAATTTCGAGTTGAAATTCTCTGACAAATTAAGCGAATACTTTTGTGATCTCAATAGCACGGAGCCTGTGAGAAATCGCCATAAAGGACGAGTATCGTTCATATTTTACGAAGTTTTATAAATTGCGCTTTGCGCAATTCGGAAAAATCCGTGATTTAGGTGTTTCGCGATTGCGGAAAATTTGTTTCATTTCGTGATAACGTCAGACATATATTGTCCTCGAACACGTCTGGGAAGTCTTTGGCAGTATCGTCCCTTACAGATTAAATGATTCCGCGTTCGTCATCGATCACGGAATGTGTTAACACTGATTGCCGACTGTGCAGTCCCCGTCGTAATTAAAGGCGACTTGTTTCAGTTCTCTCCGCGAAACGTGAGGAACGCGTCCATGAGGAAGATGACACCCTCGATGATGCTGATGGACCCCTTGGCTAAGCCAGTATCGCGAAACGCTGACCTGTGGCTCAGCTTGTGGAAAAAGTCGATGTTCAATGCGCCAGCAGCGATAAACAACGCACATCCGATGAGCGAAAAGAAGAGGTCCTATAAGGTAAGTTGTTTCTCAGTCAGCGTTAATTAACTCTAAGCTACGCAGCGTGTACTAATTTGTTTTTCGTTGCCACGTATGTGACATTTATCACTCACACATTGTGGGTAATTTTTCCTCTATAGTATTTATTGTTTTAATTTTAATCATCACGCTTTCATTATGATGTTTGAGAAATGCAAAGATAAATGTCTACGGAACATATAGAGGGATAAAGATATTTGGACGCACTATCCTTTTTTAAATGATCTTATATGAAAGAGGGAAGTACTGCTACTAAATATTGCTGAATTACTAAATTGCTTCAATGTGAGCTCTAATTGCTTCAATTAAAGCTCAAGTAGAGTTAACTAAATTGTACTCTACTTTGATATATTAATACAACAGAAATTATATTTAATACAAGCACTTGTCTTGCAGCAATATTTAGCTTGTCAAAGTTTACCTTAAAAAATAATCGCACATATAAATATCTCTTTTACCCTTTGCATGTTCTGCAGTATTTGATGCAGTAGAAATTTGCTTTAACGTACCACACGGCGATTCACCGGTGTTCCCATTACGCTGCCGATGAACAAGCCGACCAGAATAATTAGATATCCACCAAATGTGCCCATGGTTATCATCGCGGTGTGATGGTCTCCCGCGTTGAAGGAATTATAGTGCAATCCAATAAGGATGCACACCAATAGCTGTGAACAATAATATGTATTTAACAGAGGCGGACATTAGTTTTCAACTAAGCGCTACGCTTTCTCTTTCTTTCAATCAGACTCAGACTCTCGTTCATCCTCTACCTTCATTTAACGCGCCTGTGGTAACCACAGCGGTAACGGTTTTTCACTGTCTAAGTGAAGGTGTGAACGTTGTTCGCGGAACTAGGTCGAGCCGAGAAAAGTACAGCGACTCTCGATACTATTATAAATAAAAGATTATCCACTCGACGTCCCAGTTGGCATAAAACTTTTGTTTCCAGACAACAGGTCAAGAACTTATAAATCTAATAGCACGATATAGCACGTCGGATCATTAACACAATTACGCGTAAGAATAGAATCTACTTCAAGCGTATCGTTAACTATGACTGGCGAAAGACGCGATCGTTACGTCCACGAGCAAAGTAACTAGATCTCAGAACTGAAAAAGAATTTTCTGAAAGTTACTCTACAGTTATATAAAAACACCTTGCATGTATTTCTAAATTTTTCTTTTAATAACAAAGAGATTCAATTTTTATTTTTCTGCATCATATTTAATTTTTTTTATTTTTTTTTTAAGAAGAAAACAATTAGCTAAAGTTATGCGATCCAAACCATAAAATTATAATTTTTAAATTTCTGTTTACCAATAGGTAGTGTCAATACACGTCTTTCTACATGAAAAGAGATTATTTCATCTTCAACAAAAAAGAGAGATTATAGGCGTCTAAAATTAATTAAAAATAGTTTTTATTTTCTACTAGTCGTGCCACTTTTATTCATTTCTTTTTAAGGATTAAGCTTGCCAAATATGAATAAAGAGCAGAAAATTGATTAAAATTGAAGCTTGACTTCTTGAACGATTGCGAAAAAATTTAATAAGTCAATAAGTCTGAGAAAAAATACTTGAAAATTTATATTTATAGGATATACAGTTTATTTACATAGAGAAAGAAACTTTATTCCACAGAAATTAGCTTTATTTCATAAAAATAAACTTTATATCCTACAAATAAATTTTCAAAGATTTTTTCTCAGTGTATTTTAAATCGTGTATCAAATTTCCCTCCTAATTTTTTTTTGAAAAGTAGTATTTCATGTAAGTTGAGTCATTCTTGCATAACTACAACTAATTAATAATGATAAAAAACGCTGACGAAAAGTCATGGAGAAATGTAGAGTGAATTTAGAACTACGACTGCAGTTCACAATTATGTAATTTCCCTCTCGAAGCCCACTACGGCGTCAACGTTAAAATTCAACCGGTTAGCCTTGACGCGATGAACACACTGGTACTGTACAGTGTATCTCAAAAAGTCGAGGGGTGAATCACCCACGTGCACGTCGATAGGCATACGATACGTCGCATTTACTACAGCCAGCCGCTCGTCATTAAGGAGTGCCACTGGCACAACATTGTCGATATAGATATCTATTCTGAGGCAGCATCAACCGTAGAAAGTAGCACAATGAATTTTCATTCATACGTCTCGTTGATTATTACGATCGTCGAATCAAACTTTTATCTTACTGATTTTTTATTCTATGTAAAATACACATTATCATCGTTATACATACATTTTACACTTATACATTTATTGTAGATATATCATCGTATATATTTTGTATTTATATGCAACATAACGCGCATTAATAACATTTATCGTGCAACTCTATTTTATCCAAAATTTATTATTAAATATGCGTGACAAAATATTTTCTGCTATTTTCATCGCGAAACCAAAGTGGGACAACATTGCATCGTTCAAAAACTTCATTATGAAACCAAATAAGAATGATTAAAATTTTATACGAGAAAACGTTGCATAATATAGGCGCGTAATTGAAATGTCATGACTATAAAATTGAGAGTCAACATTAATTTTTTAGTAAAACTAGGTAAACGTTTATCTGAATAATTTGAAATATTGATTTTCCTTGTTTAACGAGCAACATTTTCTAAATTACTAATTCAGCCTCATTGTTTTATATTTTGATATCCTAAAAATACGAATATATTGTTAGGAGCTTTAACTAGTGCAAAATTAGCGTACATAGAGAGAATCTTATAATAAAAATATATAGAATTTTGTAATCAAGTAATATATCGATATTCTGCCGTAATTTATCATTTCATTTTATATGCGTTACACTAAAAGAAAAAATATCTAAGAAATAAAATTTATTTTTTAAGTAAGTACTATAATAACAATTAATATTTACTAAAATAGTTTTCATATAAGAAAATATATTTTTTCTTAAAATCTAGTTTTTTATTCTGTTTAAAGAAAATAAAGAGAATTTATTCTCTATTTAAAATATTTTAATAAAATTTATTCTATTTAAAAGAAACTTAGCTTTTTTTACTCTCAGTGTATTTATATTTTAAAAACTGAAATGTGTGCTATTAAACAATTTGCTATGTTTCTAACGAAATTTTTACAGACTTTTTTACAGACTTTACGAAATTTTGACAGTCTACTTCTGCACTACTAGAAACATCATGAAATTGGGAAAAATTTATACGAAATAAAAATTATAATATTCTCTCCACGTACGTACGTATTTTTATACATGGGAAAAAATTTTCGATTAGATCAATCAAATTTCTGGTGAAATATGAACGAACCAGACATTGCGATTGAAGTTACCAGAATTTCGTTCAAATTGACAAGATTGTGAATGACTTGAATAGAATTCTGGTAACTTCAACCAAAATTCTCTCGTTTATTCATATTACACCATAAATTTGGTTAGTGAAACCAAACGTTTCTTCCGCATATAAGACTAAAAAACAGACCCAGTCCCGAGAATTTACTGTAAAGTTGAGATTTTATAACGCTGAAAAACACAACCGAGAATGGTGCTGGTGAATTCACGTTTTTAAGCGTTACAAGACACACAAAAGACCGAAAGTCTCTCGCATCATGGCGCGTAGCCGCAAAGAAGCCTAACGGAAACCCTCATACCGGTCGACTTCCGGGCAACTTGGTGCGACCGTAACGAGAGGAGAGAACGCTCTTGTACGATAATCAGCGCCGATTATGTCACTCTCCATTCTCGTCGCCTTACGAATCACGAAAGATATGTAGCGCGGAATGCCGTGCGCTACCAACAATGCTCCGACTGCGATCTGCGGACGATTTTCCCGGTCGGAAAAAGCGCGATCTGGATCGCAAATGGAAGCGAGCGATTCGAAATTGGGTCGGTCGATCGATCGGAAGGAACGGCGCAATGATGTTAAAAATAAATCCAAGAGCACAGAGTATGGCGGTGGCTTTCGGAGGAGGCTACGGCGACCTCGAAGATAATGTTTCTCTTGCGGCTCTCCGGGAACACGTGTTGCGAGAAACGCCGAGCGATCTACCGTAGACAGATTAATGCGTTTCGATGTCGATCTACAAATCTTTCTTAAAGCTTGATTTTATGTGGTTATAAATTCTAATAATAATAAACGGTTTCTCTCTCTCTCTTTCTTTCCGATAGAGAGCGCATTTGTCTTATATGCCGTTCACAAAAAAGTGGTTTACTGGAGAGGTTATTACGTGGCGTGTTATTCCGTAAAAAAAAAGAAAACAAAAAATAAGAAACAAGAGTCTACGACTAGCCATTTACGTTTCTAGTTATGTTAATAGACATTTCGTAACGTTGTCATCTCATACAGCTGGTTGAGTTCAGAAGGAGTTCACGGTTGAGCCGTGAAGAAATATCTAATTTACGATGTCGATGATTTTATTTTGCTTGTGATGCTACGAGGTCTGAGCGCTTTTACAAAACATACGCTTTGTATTTGTCATTTGAACGATTGCGTTCATTGATATGCATTACTAGTTTGCGTTTTACAAGACATTAAGATTGGTACTACGAAAGTGAAATGTAATACTATAACGTGGCGATTATATGTAGAAATTGCAGATACGCAACAAAGTTTGTATGTGTGTTGGTCATACTTATTATACTTACGAGTTCAAGGAATTTTATAATCGATAACCTCGTGATGGTAGCCATTTCGTCTGATCTGCAAATTAAAAGAGAAACAATAAGTGCACAAGTCAACGACGTCACTTGTTGAAATGAATAAGAATGTGTGTATATATATGTATATATGTATATATATGTATATATATGTATATATATGCATATCCGTTCGCAAAAATTCACGCACTGAGAAACGACACGCGGGACTGCAAAGTTATCCGGTGAATTACAGTTATGTGTCTATTGACGAACCCCAAAGACATGCACACGCAAATATAACGGCTACAAGCGCGGTATGTGAGTTGCATGAAAGTATAATGAGAACTATAAAGAGGAATAGAGACACGACAATCGATGTGAGTCGCATAAAAGTAGCCGGAAGTACGTGGTATGTGATTCGAGAGACACGTGCTTCTTTCTAGACGCGCTGAGGGCATGCACGTTATTGTGAAATAATAATGCAGCTTTAACAATGCGACATGTTATCGGTTAACGCGATCATAATATTGCATATAATTAATATTATATATGATTGCATAAATATTGCAAATATTATGCGAGATTTAATGTAACGAATCGTTGACGAGGCATATCTCACATTAAAATATGAAATTTTGACATAGAAATTAGCTGGATTTTTTTTCTCTAGAATTTTAATTGTCATTAGACAAAATTTCTGTCGAGAATCATTCTCGAGATTATATATTCTCGATTAACAATGCGACGTATTCAAGCATTATGCGAGATTTGATATAACGAATCGCTGTTATATATTAGTTATATACAAGTTATGTATTGAAATATGAAATTTTGGCACAGAGATCAGTTGGATTTTTTCTTCTTTTTTTTTTAGAGTTTTAATCGTTATCATAAAATTTCTGTCAAGAGTTACTTTCGATCAATAACACGATGAATTTAAACATTATACGAAATTTAATATAACAAATCGTTGACGAGTCGTGTCTCGCATTTAATTGTGATATTTGGACACGGAAATCAGCTACATTTTTAAATTTTATTAGAGTCTTATTCACAAAATTTCATCCAAAAATTGATCTCGAGTATACATTTTTAACCAATAATACAACGTATTGTCGACTAGCGCTCACAATACGTGGTTAAATATGTGAAATTTGATGTAACTAATCGTTGGCGAGTCGTATCTCACGCATTTAAATATGAAATTTCGACACAGAAATAAGCTAGATTTTTTTCTTTCTTAGTTGTCATCGCAAGCATTGTTTCGGACGACATAAGATCAATGCGAACGTAACGCGTCGCCGAAACTTTTAATCGAACAGTCGTGTCACACTACAAAAAATATAAAAAAACTACGAGAAGCATGTCGTGAATCTCTAATTGCGAATTTTTCCCAGGAAATAAACACTTATGACATATAATTGCATGAAGCTGCGATAAGCGTGGCTTAGCATTTCTCATGTGGAATCGTCATGAAATCGTTGACCGCGAAAGTATCAACGCCGAACGCGCGTCGAGAGGAATTGCTCCGCGGTGTTGTCAAAGATAGGTAAATAGCACGTGCTTAATTGGCGCTCAGGCAACACTTTACGTCACCTCGTTGAGTGACTTGAGCGAATCGGCACGTATGACGACCATGACATACCGCAGATGGGTAGAATATAACGAAACTGGTAAATATAGCGCGGCGTGTGCGCTGCATATTTACATCGCGTCACTGAGCAATAGCGTGAGTATGTCAAGCGGCATAATGAATTTTTTCATCTCGGCACGTTTGAGTCATCGGACTGAAATTGATACGAATGACGTTCCAAGCAATCCTACTGATAAAAGAATATGACATCGCGCGAGTAAAATGCGAACTTCACCGAAAATAGTCGACATATTTCCCGGACTGTTTTGGTTTGAAAATAAAACAGATTATTTTTTAATATTATTAATTCATAAAATGCTTAAATACCAATTATACAAATAGAGATACATATTTATTTTATCGAGTCACGCATTGTAGAAACTACACTGAGAAAAAATATCTAAAAAATAGGAAGTATTTATACAATATTTTCCTAATATATTTTCCTAAAATCGTTGCTTTTTGTGCAAAGCAATTGTTTTATTTAAACAAAAGAATTTAGAATTTTTTTACAAAAATCTAGATTTAAACAAGTATATTGTTAGCATCCACCGAATAAATATTTTTTATTTTTCTAATATTTCATTTCTGAGTGTATTAAAAACGAAATAATAAAACTGAGAAGAAAATATTAATAAAAATTGCCAATATTTAAAAAAGTGTCGAGTCTGGTCAAATTTAGCAAACGCTAAATTTTGATTTGGACGACGCGGCGTCAAAACTTTGTTATTCACGACACGCAATTACATCGGAAGGCCAGCGGCGTGGATAACGAGATCTTATTATTATTCTCTCAATAACCGTGATTTCGGGCGATCGTAATTGCGATGAAAATCAGGCATCGAGATGTAAATCGCGGTCACACAGTACTCAAGAAGGGCAGCGCATTTTTTGTACCGAAAAGGAAGACACTTTCACGCTGCTCGCCATTGCCTTGACTCCGTTCTTACAATTTCCTTACGAGACGAATTGTGTCTGTTTCTTTTTGCGAGAAGAGTACTAAGACAAATCGCGCGAATTCACGCCACAAATTTTTCATTACGTCCGCACAGCGGACGTGAACGTCTCCATTTGTTGCTCTAACGTCGTGCTCGAATCACTGCAAGGTTAACCGACCCACAAATTAGCACATCAAAGGACGCCTCATGAACAAAGAAACGCGAGCAGATGTTGAAAGTACTTAAAGATCTTGGGGTATGTTGTGATATTCCTAATTTTTCAAAAGCGTGAAAGAGAAAAATTCGTTGAGACAGCAACGCGTCGTAGTGCGTACTTACGTGGTCGCGCTTGTTACGATTCACCGGTCACACAGTTGCTCGCGAGACGAGGGTTCAACGGCGACTGATGCTGAAGACCGACCACGCATTGTGGAGGCGCGTCAGCCAGCCTCGATTTTTACGATCGACGGAAACGCGCCGTCGGCTTTAACATCATGGTGTGCTCACGCATTGGGTGGAGTGTACACACATAAATGCTAAACGGGTCAGTGACGCTCATTTTGACGCTCGGTTTGACCCCAAAAAGCGGATATCTCCACTATAACCAGACGCTGACATAATTTTTCACGAGGAACGATACTAGAATATGAACGACTGGACGCGATCGACACTTATATAGCTCTGATATAATTATAACATTTCGTAATACGAAGGTTCTCAGAGAAGTCTTGAAAATTTGGACGCACGAGTGTGTGTATAGTCGTTGATACTTTGAAACATTCTTCTTATAATTATTGTATAATATGAAATAAGATTCCTGAAGATTCTAAAAAATTTTACGCACGGGCAGTCGCTGATATTTTTGAAAAATGTATTTTTCAAATTCTCTTAGGGCTGATATTTCTTAATAATAGTTTATATTTAGATTTAAGTTTAAGTACTCTTTAAATATTTTGTTAAGGAGTTTCAAATTAAGTCTAAATTTAAAATGTTGAAAAAAATCAACATTTCGAGTTTTAATATTCTATCTCGCACGATCTGTTTTCCTCGTACAAAGTTTTTGTTTGTACTTGTATTATTTACGAAAACCGAGATATTTTTAAAGTCCTTTTAGTCAATTTTACCACACACACCTTTGATTGCTGAAAGAGTCATAATTTGCACCGATAGCGGTAAAATCATCAATTAATCCAAAAACATACACATTGTTTGCCTTAGTCACTTTACTTGAAATTTATCGCTTATGTTATCGTGAAGATTTCATTAGAGGCAATTGCTCACTTCGACATTTCGCGATTTTATCATAATAAAATATAATTTATGAGATAAAAGAGAAACTATGAATCGGATTGACAATTACGTCGATTCTACGCGTCGAGCGTGACATCACGTTGCTTGTTACACGCTTACATCACGTATCGTCATGGTGCGAACAATATATTATACGAGGCTGACGCTCCAAGTTTCATAATGATTCACGTTCAATTTCCAGTGCACAAAAGATGAGCGTGAGAGATTTTTATATTCATACATATTTGCTTGTATCAAGGTTACGAGTAATTGCTTTTTTAATTAATTATCATGTTTAATTGACGATTAATATGAGCCAATTTAATTGGAGACTGTTTCATTGACAAATTACGGATCTCAACAAATTCAATCGAAGACTGTTCGTTTGGCGATTGATTTCAACGAATTCAATTCAAGATTGTTCAAATGAAGATTGATATGAGCAAGGGTAATTAAAGATCGTTTAATTAATGATTGATATGAACAAACTCAATCAATACAATCAAAGATTGTTCAGTAACGATTGATATGACCAATGCTCTCTCAACATACGTTCTACTTAACGCTTCTGAATAATTAATCTTTTCCACGTAATGCCACGATGTTCTGGGTACGAATATTATCTACAAACAATTGTAACGTTGAGTAATTGGACGTTCTTCGATTGAATTTGTTCGAAGTAATCGTCAATTAAGCGGCCTTTCATTGAATTTTCTAAATTCAATCTTTAATTAAGCGGCCTTTAATTAAATTTGCTAAGTTCAATTGTCAACTGAACGATTTTTTATTCCCTTCGCTCATATCAATCGTCAATTGAACAGTCTTCAACTGAATTTGTTGAAAAAATCAAAATCAATCGTCAATTAGTTGAATTGAAACATACTGGTTTAAATCAATTATTCCATCGAACGAAATTGAATTGATATTTGTACAACTCCGGTTCGTGTTCGAGTTTGTCCAGTTTTGACGCCTAATTGACTCGCTCACGCTTTTTTATTCTTGCCGTCTTTATTTTCGCCTGTACTCTTTGTAGTACGTAGCTATCTCTTCCACACGTGCTACCAGCAAATTATCCGCGACTGTACGCGTATGCATCCATTAGCCTCCTTTCGCCGGTTGCTTATGATACAACGTGTGCTTTTACGAGATCCCTGTAGATTTGGCACACCCTCGCTTTCTCGTCCAACGCGCGAAAAGTTTTGCCTTAAATTTATATGCACCAACGTGCACACGTAATTAAAAGGATATCGCCAATGAGGGGATTTTTTATGTCGAATGTATTAAATTTTATTAATATCAGAGACAATTGTCTCGTGATTAAATATGTAGAAACATTATTATACCATATGAGAATATAAAAAGCAGTCAAAATTTCTTTGGAGTTGCTCAACTGTAAAAATTGGAGTTCGCTCAACTGTAAAAATTCTCCTCGCTGAAATATCGTCTTTGCATATCAAATTTCTTGGAACAAGTTGAATCATTACTATTTATATAGTTATCTACCTTGCAGCGTTATCTGTTTTCATGAATCAGTCCCACGAGCGATTGTTAGTTGAACTCTGACATCATAGGGATGTCGTCGTAATGTTACAAAAATGTATATATAATCGCTAAAAGATAATTGATAATTATAGAATATTCGTTCAACAGATCACGCAAACGTCCCACTTAAACGACAGGCAACATATTTTAGTTATACATTTTTATAATATGATTTAATTTAATAATGGTGCATAAAATAAGCACTGTTTATACGAAAATCGCGTCCTTTGTAAACTACACAATATACGTAATCTAAATTTAAATATATCACTATATTAATACATGTAGAGTCATTAACATCAAATTACGCGAACAGATTTTGGAAATTGACGATGGCTTCTTATACCGAGAAATACCGAGAAAATATTACGTGCTGGGAAACACGAGTATTTATTTTGTAAACAGTTCAGGCTAGTTAACTGTTTTATTCGTAGAGCTGAACGGCTCTACGGACTGACGTTTAACAAAGTTTCTTAAGATGGCGCGATGGATACCGGTTCAAAGACGATAGCACGATAAAAACGATGTACCAGCAATCGTTATTTCTCCAACTCGTTCGTTTTATTAATTGCTGGCAATTTTTAACATCACATGATATGAACTACTTGAAACTCATGCTTCGGTTTTCTTTCTATTTTTATTCTAATATAGTTGTACCAGTCGACAAAGCAGCAATAAAGGATTGGCTCTTCATCCATATCCTGAGGAACAAACGTTTGCGAATTATCATCCAATTTCCGAAATTCATAACTTTGGAGAGATTTCTTCTCTTTTAACTGCTTCTCTCTTTTAAACGCGTTTCTTTTCAAAGCGCGCAAGTGCCGTTTATCTTTCTAAGAATCTTTCGAGTCGAAACACTTTTTGCTGATTAGCCGATAACCTTAGGAATGAAACAAGCAATGCCATTCTACATAGTAGAACGTCTTACTTCCGAATATAAAATGTCCCCTTTTCTTCTATTTGTCACGGCTAATTATCTGATTCTTTTCAAATTCTAAGATACTGATAGAATCGTGTGAAAGGATAGTCAGTGATCGTCATTCTTACGACGCTGTCGGCGGCCACAGCCGGGGTAGACAAGTCTTCGAAAGTAGGAATTGGTGCCAATTCTACGACCTGTCGTCTGGACTCGCGTTCATCGATCCTCTTTTCAAACACGGTACTCTCAGTTACATCAGTGACCACGCTGGAGTCGGAACTTTGCGTATCATCCGTTGTAGTAGAAAGATCTTGTTCCCCTCGGAGCTGTAGAGTTGCGTGTAACTTTGTGTTACATGTTTTTGTCTATAATTAAGTGCTCTCTGAATTTCTGAGAGTAAAACTTCATTGGAAAAATGAAGTGCTCACCGAGTCACTCGAATTCTCGAGTGATTTTTCATTCATATAGAGTGAATTCTTCAGTCGAAATTGAAGAACAGATTTGATGTCCATCGTCACTGGAACACATTCACCCTAATAGGCTGAAATATTTACTCATATATGGTGTCAGAATCCACTCTAAACATAAATGAAACATTCACATTTGCGACTTTAAGTGGCAATATTTTCACTATCGTTTCGAGTGAAAATATTGCTACTTTTCACTCGCTTTAAATGAGATTTCACTCCAAGAAATTTAGAAAGTACAACATTAGAGGAGATATTTGCGAAATATATAATCACTCGTTGTTAATATTTCGCGAAATATCAAATCTCTTTATTTTGTTCGTTTATACTCACGCACCCACTGCCAGTAGTCGAAAAGGACCCAAGTTTGGAGCAGATACAAAGTCATAATGAAGATCGATAATATACACATCACAAAATTATGAATGAAGACAGGATGTTCCAATAATTCCTCGTCGGAGATCTCGGTGATATCGATGTATATATCAACGTGTTTCATCTCCATTATCCCTGTCACTAGCATCAGGATAGCCCCCGTCGCACATAGTACGAAAGGCTTGCGAATTCGTTTCCAAAATGACACGCGATTATTTAACGCGAATAGTCGAACAAATCTTTATACCGCGAAATTTGACATTGTGAAACAACTAATAGTATACATAGAAGAAAAAAGTAAATGTTTCAGTTAAGGTGGAACGTTCGTTCTTTAAGATCACTGAATCGAATCGATTGTCATTGTGAGAGCTAATGACTTGTATATATTAGTCTTGTAAAAATATTTAACTTCTTAAGAATCATTGAACTGCGTGTCAAGAGTCGCGTCTGTTGCAATACAAATACGCAACGCAAGCAAACGTTACAACATTCAATCGACATAGTATAATGTTTTGCACCATAGTTATATATCGTATGTTATATCAAACGAGTGTTCAAATAATTATGTCTGAATTATGTAGAACAAAAATATTGGACCAGACGATTGTAAGCGTGCTGTCGTGCATACTTCACACGCTGAGGAGAAAATTATTTGAAAATTTATTTGTAGGATTATAGGCTTATTTACAGAAATAAGCTTTATTTAACAGAAATAAACTTGTATTCCATAAATAAATTTTCAAGTATTTTTCTCTCAACAAACATTGTCACTGAGCAACTTTTCTTCACTTCTCTTCACTTAAGCAACTTTCGAATCAAACACTCACTATCACGGGTCTGTCGGGCAGTATCTTTTTAACAAGCCAGAGGATCGCAAGGATAAGGCTCACCAGCATGCAAATAGGGTACAGAAAGAAAATGGGATTTCTCTCCTCGGGCAATGCTGGAATCGTGTCGTCCTTCTCTCGTGCGCGTTTATTCACATAGTGATGTACGTAATGAAAAATTTCAGTAGCCAATATGCATATCTGAAAGAGTATTTTCAACAGAGAAAGGTGTTGGATGTGACAGAGAGATTTTTTCTACGAGATATATATATATATATATATAGCGAATAGCAACGCTTAGCAGGTTTCCACTGATCGTGACAAAATCATTAGCTGAAATGGAACGCGGGTAATCGAACACCGCGCGATCTTCTTCCTGAAGCGATTAGAATTCGCGGTGTACGTACGCGTGCTGACACGCATGTTTACACGTAACGTCCGATATACGTGTCGTCGCGCGCCACATCGTGTACGATTACATAATAAAGAAAGAAACACAGGCGCCGCGATTATCGCGAGATCATCACACTGAATCACGACGCGACGACGAGGAATCTGGTCAAAAGGAAAAAAGGCAAACAGAAATTGGGTCGCCCGGTTGCATTGTTTAATATATAAAGTTATTTTACCTCGCGCGCGCATGCACGATGTGGCACGTAAAGATAACGACATTATCTCGAGGTATCACATGTCGCGTTCCTCTATTTCGCGAGGAAAGTAGATCATGGTAAGATTTCATCCACTTCATGTACATTTGAATTTCGTGAAAGACGACGTTTTTGAATTCACTCCGTCTAGAGAATCTTTCTCCCCTCTTTGTCAACGTGAGAATCAAAAAATTGGGACGACAGATTTAATCGACGTCAATGGCTTTTAATTCTCGCTCCAAAAGATAATTCGAGTATGATGAATTTATAAATTTAAATCGTTCCCAATCGCTCTCTTAAATGCAAGAGTAGATTTGAAATCGTATCCGATTTCTTACGAATTGGGCGCCATGTAGACTGACGTGTACGATGTGCGAGAGATCTGTCCTTTTGTGAAACTTTCCTTCGCCATTGTGATAGATAGCCGCAAGCTTAACAGCTTCCTGGAGTCTGCGAAGCTCCAACGTGGCTTCATCCTCGCTAATCAATCGCCTATTTTCGGCTTGACTCACCATTACATCGTTAATTATTAACGCAAATTGGCGGCGGATTCTCTCGCCGATGTAACCTAAATATAGACACCAAATTCGACATTTCTGGACTAACTGACAAGTGAACAATGACGGAAAGTGACGTACACTATTAACTCACGCTGCTTATCAAATTATCTCCTTTGGGAGTTGGAAACGGAGCCATGACTAAGGCATGGTTAAAATTAGCCGGCGTTGGTAAAATCTCAGATAATTTATGCAGATAGATGCGATTCCGTTGGGAGGAAATTAAGTGAGGTTAACATAAATTATAGTTGCAGAATTACGTAAATTCTTCTTATACATACTTCTTTCATAAACTTTAAACTGTCGGCCTTAGTTCAGATTAATAGTTTTTTCTTCTTTTTCCTCTAAATTATTATGTTGTACGATTAGGAAATTTTCCTGTAAGAAACAACGAATCGTTTCGAATAGACAAACAGCTAATGAGAAAACCTTTACTTTTCATTCTCCAATCCATCTCCGTCTGATCCCTAAGAGGTCGACATATATTATTCCCATATGATATGATAAATCCTCACGCTTACTTTACATTTCGACCGCGTTAGGTCTGCAGGTAGATATTTTTCTTCCTTTCTCTAATCTCCTGGCATCCTTAATTTTTATCTCATTTTTTCTCCACACATGCTGACACATCATCATCAGTCGCGGACACCCCACAGATTATGCGTTCTCAAGCTGAGCGTGTATTTCTCTTCATATTCGCAAACACTGCGTAGATACATAATTCTTTTCTTTTTAGATAGATGAAACAGAAACGTCATCTCTTGTTGAATATATTAATTAAAATTAATGATAATATAGGGTCTTTCAAAATATATCGCAATAAAATGATGAAAAGTCTGATACATTAATATAAATAAAATAGTAAATAAAACATATATAAATGTGTGATTTTATTATATTTTTGCATTTGCCATGTTTTTGCCAGCGCACGCGCGATTGTTTGACTAATCGATCACATATTTTACGGCGGTAATTTCACGAGCTCGACAAATTTGAAAATTTTGACAGTTCTGGGAAGAAGTTTTATGATCCGAATTGGACATGACGACAAAGATACGCAAGCGTCGTGAAACGCGTTTTGGAAATTTTCCAATTGAACGTTGCTGTCTTTCTGACAAGAGAATATCGGAGATGTAGAGAAAGGCACTCTTTGTGGCCGTAACATTGCCGTCGCTATCGCCGTAAGTATCCCTGAAAAATATTGTGTTGATCCCTTTCGATGAAATATTAAATTATTTTCACCCGTGAAAATCAAGATCAATGTGACAGACGTGCTGTATTTCCTCAAGGCTTCTGACGTCACTTGCGCGTTCTATTTCGGATTTCTCGTTTGTATTAACTGAAATCAAACGCACGTGTGGTTCTATTTTAATTTTTATTCAAATTATATGCCCGCGAGTGCGTCGTCTCGTACAAAACCACACGAGTCGACAAGTAAATCCGCTTTAACTGTGAACCGTACTCCGTTACTTCTTTATTGAAACCTTGTTACATTAGTACAGTTAAAATTCGGAGTCACAGTTATTTGTAGCGTCACTTTGTATGAGTAAAGTGCTATAATAAAAATTTTAAGTATCTCCATCTTAACGGCCAAACGAGAACGAGGCATCGAAGCTAAACTTAGGTATGGCTTTTTGGACTGGCATAAATACTTTCCTTAATGAAAGCAAACGCCCTTTACACCGGACTATAAGTTTTACGATCCTTTCGAACACGGTCGACATTGCGCTACGTCTTTACGACACTTTCGAAAATATCGATGTCGTGCAACGCGAAATTCTCTGATCGTGATTCTCTTCCTCTGCCGAGCTATCGACATTTTTGGAGAATTACAGAGATTCAATAGGAAACGTTTCTATAAAAATCTTTAAAATCTCTATAATCTAAAATCTCTAAAAATCTCTATAAAAATCTATAAAAGTATATTGAACAATATACAGAAGAAAAGGACATGTTCTTGTTTGGAAAATATTTTTGTTTTTGTCATGTTAATCTTCAAATAGTCTTCCATATATATATTGAAGGAAAAATTACCTTAAAATCAACAAATATTTCTTTGATGGGTGTCATTAATATATTTATTTAAATCTAAATTCTTTTTATTTAAATCAAATATTGTTTACCTGATTTAAATAAATAATATTTGGTTTAAATAAAGAGAATTTAGATTTATAAGTAAATATGTTAATGGCACCCATCAAAGAAACGTTTATCGATTTTAAGGTAATTTTTCCCTCAGTGTAGCGTTAAGCAAAGATAAGTTGCAAAAATATATTTTATACGATTTTTAACGAAACTTATTATTATTCAAAAATAATTTTCATTAATGAAAAACAAACAAAACATTGTATTGAGAATATGACACTTTTAAATGTGAATTATACTCGGGTTCTCTTGTATCCATTTAAAACTAATATACTCAAATTAACATTGTTTGTTTCATATATAAGCAACGATATATAATTTTGTTAGAAGAATATTTAAACAATTTAAACAATTATTTGTTGAACTGAGAAAATGTATTGATGCGCAAGTGTAACTTAATATTTAATATTAAATAATCTTATTTGAAGATTAATATGTCAAAAATTAGGTTCTTCAAGAATGTATTTTTTTCTGTATACCAAAGTAGCTTTATTACAATAAAAATTGTCAGATTTTACTCTTAATTAATCTTTTATTTATAATTTCACATATTTTATCATTCTTACTTTCAAAAGTGCATACGATTACATGATACATTCAACCTTGCAATTATTGACAAATCATAGTAGCAAGTATAGGCGACGTGAGTAAAAAAATGTTAAATCGCGAAAGTCGCGAAAGACTCATTAACAAGCGGCACCATGCAAATTCTCACGCTGCAAATTGCAGCTCACAGTCGATTAGCGGATGCTTGGAACATGATGGATATAGACACGGAGAGAAAATATCTAGGATATTTTATTGTTTTATTTATCCTTCGAGCTGGCGCCCAATGTATAATTATAAACGGAGATGGCACATTACGCAACGCTAGCACGCGCATTCGCGGATGAAGCATGCCTTTTTTCTGAATTCATCGCCTCCTCGCGTATATAGTCATTCTCTCGGCGACTTCCAGGAGGAGAACACGTGGATGTCCCGTGTAATTGTATCTCCTCAATGGCGCCTCCGCTCCTTTCTCCGCCGTCTGGACGACCTTGGCGGTGCGATCGAGCAGAAAAATCCGATTTGTTTCTTTTGCCGCTATTACCGATCCGATAAATCTCAGGTAATCGTCGACGAGACGTCGGTGAGGAAGACGCCGCACGAGGAAGAAATCAATTTTCCAAGTGAAATTTATTTCTTGCCGTTGCGGTTGAAGCGAGCCATCTCTTCGCGCTCTCTCGGCTTGGCCGAAGGTGGAGAGACTCCTAAATAATTCCCCATTGCGCAACTCTCCCGCGTGTATACTTACGCTGTGCTCTGCACGCACATGTTCGCGAATACGATGAGTACGCGCGCACTCGTACATACGTTAACGAGTAATTTATTTAACGATACGCGCTTTTGCGACGCACCGCTTCTCACTTATTGCTCATCCGCACTCCCGCTACTCGCGATAGACGATGCGAATCTCAAAGAGAAAAAGAAATCTACGAGTCCCTCATCATGCTCTGAAATGGGTCGAGAAAGAGAAAGAAAGAGACAGCGGAGAAAAGGAACAGGTTTCCTGTCTTGAATTCCTTGAGAGATTAACAAAGCGTGATCAAAGATCTGTCGAGAATTCGGTATTTTGAAGGAAAGGGCTTTCCTAGACTAATAAGGGAGATTGGGTCTGGAAGTCATACGAATTAGTTTATTACAATAAATGGAGCAACACATTCTTCTCTCTGATATTGCTTGTATTGTTTGTATTATGTTACACTTCGTTCAGTCGACTAAATTACCGATCCGATAAATTTACTTGATATCTGATAGATTTACTTGAACGAATTTTATAAGTAGTAAGTAAGATCCTATGAATATTCAACTACTTCTCTTCTGAGTGCAAAACTTGCATGGAAGGTTTCAACAAGAGTTAACTGGGAGGTCGTGACCTCGAGGGATAAAAAGCGACGCTAAAAAGAATCTCACAAAACGTCGAACATTTATTTGAGGGAACGGAAGAATGTGCGAAATATCCTTTCGATGTGGAATCGACTGGTCCAACTCCCGGCGTGCAGAGATTCAAACTCGAAATTGTCCAGTTACACGTGACGTCACGCGGAATTGACGGGTTAATTGTTTTCTGTATATCTCGACGCGAACGATGTGCAGGTGAAAGAGCCGCGGCTGCGGCTAAAACAAGCGAGAGTTTGCACGATGAATCAATCCCGGCCGGTACTGCGTATTTTTGGCCGCGCATTGAGAATTCGTAGGTCGGTTTTCACCTGTACGGCCAGCTCTCCTCAAATCCGCCCCGAGATCTCGAGGTACGCGGGAGGTATGCGCGATGGGTTATCTCTCCCCTCGTGTTTGCACCACAACGCGGGGGTGGGTAGCGGTGGTCGTTGTTTACGTCTCTCCCTCGGGAAATACGAGGCAACGCAGGCGTGCGTGTGCGCGCGAGGTAACAAAGATAGGGGCGCGCGGAAATTCCCACGCGAAATAATATTTTCCTACGGGGGAAAGGAAAATATGACGCGGAAGAAACAGACGGTCTTCTGGCCCCGGTGAAAAATGGCATGTTCGAACAGCCCCGACAAACAGCAGACAACCCCGTCGTGATCCCGAAATCGTTTGCTCGAATTATTTCGCGAATCTCGCTGGCTTTTCCGCGCGAGACAAGTGCCATTATCGACTCTCCTCTGGGATACTTTCCCCTCTCCCCTATATACGAGTAGGCTTTGTTATTATTATCATTGTTATCGTTATGCGAACGGCGTGATTGTACCTTTTTATAACCAGTCACGATGCAAACGTGAGCAAAACAGTGTTTTAACCAAGTGAGAGAAAGACGGCAAATGAGAACCAGTCGTGGTTTTTTTAGCACGAATGTTTAAACTTATTGGATGGATAATAATGTCTAACGTGTCGACGCACGCGCTGAATATTTTTTCAGACTTGCAACATACGAATCAACTTTCCACGTCAGATCGATCTTTTAAATGATTAATATCTGTGTAGAAACAAAACGGGGATCAAAAAGGGCTTAGATAGTTTTTCTCTACTTCTATCAAGGGTCTGTAGACAAATCTATTTAGGCTCTACACAGAGATATACAGAGTAATGCTCTTACAAATTAGCACCTAGACTTGTAAATCTGACTAAGCCCTATCTTGGTATGCCTAATTAGACCCCGATTGAAATGAGGCTCTACTTTGAAATTGTTCTCAAGGTATAATAAATTAAATCTTTCCTCAGCGTACTTTTTGCCATCTTTTTTACAACTTTTATTGCAATATTGTAACAATTTTTCTTATTATATATAATACTATTATTATTATGAATATCGAACATATTTTTACCCTTTTTCTCTGGCTAATTTATCTATTTTTCACTCAACATCACAAAAAAATTTGTAATACTCAAATTCATAGTTACTTTAATGTAAACTATTGTAACGCTCATGAAAATATTTATAATTAATAAATATTTATAAATAATAAGACTTGGTCAGTGATCTCTATGGTTTCAGTAAAAAAAAAACGATTATTTATTAATAATTAATGGTTGATAATTATAAATATTTTGATGAGCGTTACAATAGTTTACAAAAAAGTAACTATGAATTTGAGTATTACAAAATTTTTTGTGAAGTTGAGTGAAAAAAATAGATAAATTAGCCAGACATTTTGACAGCTTTGACGCATTACAACATACTACACTAATTTACACATACTTTATTCTCTTATCCTCTTACGATATTAACATTAATTTTAAGTGTTGCGCAAATATACCTCCTGTCTCAGCTAGGAGGTAAAAAGTATTCCGGCGCGACGCGACGGCATTCGCGGTTCGCGCGAATCCGCCGGCAGTAAAAGTGCATTTCGGTCCAGCCTTGGAATCGCCGGACAAAAGCTACGTCGTCGGGCCCGTCTGTGCGAACATGGCCGGGTTAAGCGACCCTCTTCGCAGTTTCCTCGCTGCGCGTCCACGGGCGTTTCATCGGCGGGTTTATTTTCGGTGTCCGCGCCCGCCGTCATCGTCGCCTTCGTCTCCGCCTCCACCTTCGCCTCCTGTCAGCCCGCGAAACCGCACACTTCCGGTATGCGTTCTCGCGGAATGCAGCGCAGAAAACGCCGCGGCGCGAACCGCTCCGTTTTTCGATCGTTTTCATATCTCCCGTCGTCGCCGTCGCAGTTAACCCAGTTACGACGGTGATTACTTATTGCTTTACGGGCGGCGCGGCC